GCCACAAGGAGTCCAACCATGAAAGCAGATGATACAACTCCATCCTTAAAATTATTTAGGTCAAAATCACCCCTGCATAGAAAGGAGTTTATGAAACAAGGCAAAGAATATACAGAGTTATCCATTTGGTAGTTAGTCTAAATGTACAGGTTACTGGAGAAGAAGTAGAATATGTACTGACAATATTGTTATATAAGCATCAACAAATTCTCACACAGCATTGCAGAAACTCATAGGGCGAGGGCTGATTAAAATGGATAACCAAATAATGCCCTGTTTAACTGCTAAAAAGACATTTTCTAGTTAGAAATGGGCCAAATCCAAAACTCTTTCATTCTTGAGGGATTATTTGTTTTCTTGTTTTTACTTTCTGTTTTCTCTTGCTCTTTTAAGATTAAAGAGAGGATGAAGATAGATTTCTCTCTGCACTTGGAGTGAAAAGAAGGAAGTAGAAGTTCAAGAAAATGGATTGCATTGCTCCCCCTTTTTATTTTTAAGTCCTTTGAGATTTTAGAAGTTTTAACGTCTTTAACAATGTGTAAATGGGCTATATGGAGATAAAGGACAGTTTAAAATCTTCAGGATAACAATTAAGAGTGCGTAAAAAATACAATTATCATGGGTTTGGGTTATATAAAGAAAGAAGAATTCTCCATGAACAAAGTACTGCATAAGAGATAGTGATCAATTGCTGACATTTAACTTACTGAATTCCAGTGCCTGGTGAGCATTGGCCATTTTTTGAGCAAATCTTGCGGTTCCCGTTGACACCATTGCTAGCTATTGCTCCGCGGTCCACATAATTTATTAAGTTAATTACACAAAATATAACAAGCAACCTGCCAAGAATCACATTTAGAGAATTTGTTTAATGGCAAGTGATGCAAAATGGAAAGTCTAATCTAGGTGTAAACGAAAATGATGCAAAATGGAAAATCTATTATAGGCATAAACGAAATCATTTCAATTAAGACTATAATTTTCTGTTATTTCATTTTATTGATTTTGGTAATATGTTTGAGTTTGTCTTTCTTTAAAAGGAAATCATAGTTTTCCTTTTTAGTTGTAATTTTCCCTTTCGATGTATTTTAGAACCTTTAAAATCTCGTACGTGTTGTCACGCCCAAAGTACTTAACATCATGATCGTAAAGCCAGGGACGTCCTAGTTGGATGTGAGCGACATCCATCAGTAACACATTACAATAAATGTCTTCCACAAAGAATGGACCCAACTTAAGAGGTACAAGACAACGATGAGTGACGGGCTGATCAACCCATGCCACCTTAAAAGAAACTTGGCCACGACAGATTTGGAGACAACATTCACATTGCTCGCATTGTCTCTCAGTGTCACACGTGTCAATTGGGAAAGAAACAACGCTAAAACACTGGGATGTACTCTCTTTCTATTCCTCGTCCTTTTTGGCGCGACGTTAGCATGGATTTCGTTCTCCGGTTACCTAAAACTGCTAGAGGCCATGATTCCATTTTTGTGGTTGTGGATAGGCTCTCTAAGATAGCTCATTTCATTCCATATTCCAAATCTACTTATGCGTCCCATATTGCTAAGTTGTTTTTCAAGGAACTTGTTCGCCTCCATAGGCTACCCATCACTATTGTTCTCGGGTTAAATTTGTTAGTTACTTTTGGAAAATACTATGGAAATTATTTAGGAAAACACTTGAGTTATCATCCACATTACACCCCTAAACCGATGGTCAGATAGAAGTTGTGAACTGTAGTCCGGGAAATCTGCTTCATTGCTTAGTTGGGGATAAACTGGGTAATTGGAATCTTGTGTTGCCTACTGCTGAGTTTGCGTACAATAACTCGGCCGATAGGTCTACCGATCATAGTCCGTTTAAGATCGTTCAGAGTTTTTCCCCACGTCAGCCACTTGATCTTGTCCTTTTGCCTATCAACAAAGTTTTAAAATACGTTATGTGTGATAATGCATTTCGGTTGATCATCAAGCATTACAAGAATATGCTTGCTTATGCGAAACATATACTTAATTATGCATTTTCCAATTTTTAATATTATTTTAAATATTCTAAACTAATAAATATATTAAATAATGCATTCTTTAAACTTTATACATATTCTTCTAATTTTTTTTTTTTTAAAAAATTGCTCAAAATCATAAATACTACAATTTCTTAAACTTTATACATATTATTGATTTTTTTTAATAAAAACATAATGCTCAATATCATAAATACAACAATTATTTGGTAATTAATTCCTGCAATTAAATTAGATACGAATATCAACTTAAAAAGTTCTAAATATTTTCTAACTCTTTATCGGATTCTAATTTAAACTCCTCTTCATGCAAGTATCTTTCGTGTATGTAGAATCATCTCTATCGGGCTCCCTTATTTCAACTCGAAAATTTCTAATACCTTTTGTAGATGGTAGGATATCATTATAAACGTCGTCATCATCATCACAACCATCAATAATTTAATATTATTCATCACTAGCATCACTCGCCAGTAAAACTAAAGAAAAATCGAAGGTAACTCAAGCTCGGATTAGATAGGTTGCAACTCTACGAAAATTTTGTTATATATATTTTTTAAAATGTCAAAATCCTATAGATTGCTTTATATAATTAATGGGCTTGGGTGATTTGGGTTAATTTGATATTTGTTGGGCTCAATTTACTTTTTTAAGTTATAAAAATGGACTAGATTTTGCTAGGCTAATTTTGACACAATTTTTTACACAAATACGTGTGCATTTTGGGGTTTAAACATGCATATACGGTCAACGAAATTAGTTGACCGCATTATCATGCGCATACCCGATATGCGAGACGTTTCTAAAAAGTATCAAGCATACGTTAGTATATGCGAAACATATGCGCGCATTTTAGAACATTGCCTACCGATATCTATCCTGCTGCCTCCGTTCAAGCTTTTGCCGATCATATTCACGACTTGCGCGATGAAATTAAACATAAAATTTCTTTGAGTGATGATCATTATAAATTAGCGACCGATTCTCACCGCAGGCATAAAGAATTTAATGTGGACGATTATGTCATGATACGACTTGCACTTGAACAATTTTCTAAACATGCTGCTAAGAAACTTTGTGCTCAATCTCTCAGACCTTTCCGTATTATTAAACGATTTGGAACTAACGCTTATCTACTTGAGTTGCCAACACACTTAAATATTAGTCCTGTTTTCCATATAGCAGATTTATATCCTTACCGAGGCACATTTGAGCCTTCAATTTTGTCGCCTAATATTTCTGCAAGGCAGGTTCCTCGGTCGTCCACTCGTCCCCTCGGGTACCTATCTCCACTTTTTCCATGTAGAATATCATTGATGAGGTGCTTGATAATCAATTGCTTCTCAAGATGGCAGTTTTCATAAGTTTCTAGTGCGTTGGAAGGGTCGTCCTCTTAGTGATGCTACTTGGATTGCTGAAGAGGAGTTTCGTCAAATGGATGCTACACTTTTGGATGCCTATCTACATTATACTTCGCCGAAGTCGAGTTTCTTTCAACCGAGGAGGAATGATGCAAAATGGAAAGTCTATTCTAGGCGTAAACGAAATCACATCAATTAAGACTACAATTTTCCGTTATTTCATTTTATTGATTTTGGTAATATAGTTGAGTTTGTCTTCTTTTAAAAGGAAATCATAGTTTTCTTTTCAGTTGTAATTTTCCTTTTCAGTTGTAATTTTCCTTTTCAATGTATTTTAGAACCTTCAAAATGAGGCTTATTGATTGTAATAAGATAGATTTGAATATTGAATAAGAATACAATCTTCCTCCCATTTCTTTCTTTGATAAAAGAGAGAGATGAACAAGAATTTCTCTGCAAAATCGCCATCAGCGAGAAAGCAGATTCCAGATTTAACAAGCATCGACCACTTCTAGAACTGATCAAATGCATTTCTATTTCTTCAATAGAATTATTTTAAATGAACCGAATTTCAAGTTCATTAAAAATCAAATGTATTAATTATTGACATAATTCGCAATCACCTAATTTCAAAATTTAATAGAAGTCAAAAACCTTAGCTGTTGTCATCCTTCCATGATTCCATCACCCTACACATAAACAACCAATTTCCCTAACACCCTATTACAAATATTCCCTTAGATTAGCATTGAAGGGTATGATAGATGAATACAGAAGTGATATAAACTATTTTCCAAACACAATGTCCTCTGATAAAATTAAAGAAGCATAAACCCATTCAATAGCACGCATTGAAACTCAATACAAGAGAAACCAACAAATTCCTGGAGACCCACGTGGTAAAAATACACAAGACTCAAACTTTTTCCATTCCTTGTACTAAATTTTCTTGAAATAATCAGGAACCCAATAACATAACAACATATACAGAAATAAATTTACATGTACAAAAAAGATAACCTTCTGGGAGTGAACCAAGAAGGGTTGGAAGCTGATAATGGAGATGGGATTGGAGCCACATCCATGCTTTTCTCTGTCTCAATGGACCCGGCTCCAGGAGGAGGTTTTGGGGTTGAGTGCCCCTCCACCGGCTGTGGCTGCGGTGGCTTTTCCTCTCCCATTAACACTGGAATTTTGGTTGGAGCAAATCTTTCAACTAATGGCGTCAGGTTTCACCTCTGTTTTTCACATTTTATGGCCTCTAATAATTATTCGCTTTATAAGTGGAATATTTGTTTTGGGATTGTTAAGATTTTTTTTAACAGATTGCTTCGAATCTTACCAAGACCTTTCGATGTAAATCTAAATCCAGTAGATTCTTTAATTATCATCGTTTGCAAATATTTCAAAGAAAAATTTAAAAGGATAAAAAAGCTGCAAAGCATAAGCCACGGTTTGACTCCATTTCAAATAAAATAATTTATTTCTCATATTCAACTCCTATTTAATGATCATTATTAAAAAATAATAATATTTTGAGTAGTAATTTTTTTTTTTAAAATATGTGATTAAAAAATAGAATAAAATTTTGAATTTACGTACAAATATTTTATTATTGTTGTAAAAGGAAAATAAATTAGAGTTTAGTGTGAATGACACTTGTATCCCTGCAGCCCTAGATATAATTATCATATGTATCCCTATTCTTTCTCCTTAATTTTTCAAAGTTTATTATAGGTAGTAATTTTTTTTCTTTTTGCATAATCATCTCTCATATGGACCAAAATCGATTTGGTGACATATGTATTTCTTTCTGGATTTTTGTTTCTGCTACAACGTGATTTTCTTTTTATGCTAAAAACAATTTGTGTATGAATTGTAAATGCCCATAATGATTAGTTTTGAGAATGTTGACCAAAGATGAATGCACCTATAGACAGAGAAGACTACTGTTTATTTATGAATGCTGCCTGTGAAATAATTTGTGTTGACCAAAGAATTATCTCTTTTTTTCATTATACATATGCATCTGCATGTAAAATAATACTTCTGCCTTAATGATTACGTTCTATGCTCCACAATTTGTTTCTGGTGAACCCTACTTTTGCAAATTCAATTTCTTTTAATTATATATACATGTTTACCCTAACTGACGCAGCAATAATTAGGTATACCTAGTTTTTTTTTTTCATTATGCTTTAATTAATCATGCTTTTAAATTCTGTACAAATCTTTGGCTGTAGTAGTAATATTTTATCGTGCTTAAATGATGATTCTTTCACATATATACTTTAATGAATACTCTTTTTATTCTAACAACATTAATATTTTTTTTTTATTATTTTTGTATAAACTTTAAAGCGTATATCATGTTGTTGCTCTTGAAGTAGCACAACATTATAATTAATATTCCAAAAGAATATTACTTGCTCCTGAAGAGCATAAATTATAATTTTCAATATTCCAGAAGAATATTGACATGTTGCTCTTGAAGAAGCGATGTTAAAATACAAC